TGTTCGCACGGTAAACGGCCCCCTAATCTCCGTGAATAAAAGGGGGGGGGGTGGTGCCAAAATATTAAATAAGTCAGTTCGGTAAATATATTCTTTGCGTAGATATTTACACTTCGTTGTTGTAGTGTTGTTTTTGATACCGTAATGAGTACCCACTCATGAAACAGCATTGGCGATGAGAAAGAAATTCTAGCTTATAAAATGAACGCGTTTTGTAATGGCTCACCGATGTATTAATAATACAGCTGTAACCGGGACGACGAGACGTGAACCGTATCTGTAGTTGTATCGATAGCCTGTTAGAAGAACACAACTGCTCAGATCAATTTCCTACCTAACTATTTCGTAAGTATTACTCTGATCAAAACTGAACCATCTGTGTACCGTTGGTCAACACCGCCAAGGGCGTTGCCCAAACAGACGGAGTGAAACTAAGTAATTAGGGAAATTTGTGTAACTCTGAGTACGCATTCAAGAGGGACGGCAAGTAGGACATGAAGACGTGCGTAGCGGCTGAACGATAGCCAAAGGACAAAGAACAAAACCGTTCAGTCCATTCAGCAATGATGAAGAAGGAGATGAGCAATTCGAAGCTATCCATTCTATACTTTTATCCTCATTTATTGTCCTGAGTACTCGATTTTGACAAAAGCAGTGGAGTCCCAGACACACTTGCAAGAATTGACGAATGCTGGTGTAACGAAACTTTATGAGTTTGAAACTAAACAATTCGACATTCCCTCCCATGAGCCGCTTTTCCAGAAGGAGCGACCGCAAGCGTAGTGGTTCTGTGCACTTGAATAGGATACCTGAAGGTAGAATCGTGGGGCAAGCCCCTCTCTCTGCAATGCTTCACTGAAGACTGGTCAAAAATGAAACCGCTAATTACAAATGGCTTCGAAACGTAGCGTGTGAACGCTGTAGCAACTTGGAATCCAATGATGGAAAAGTCACGAAATCTAATGCTACTGAACTGCGAAAATCCATGATGTCATTTTTAGCTTGTCAGTCAGTTTATATCAAAATGTAAGGCTGTTGGAAGTTGCTCAGGGCAAGCAGCTTGAAACACGATTAAACTTTTTCCGAATCTGAAGTTTTGTATTGTTCTGATGGCTGTGAAACACTGGTAATCACGAGATTCAGACTGATGCCACAGCAAATGCTATTAATTAGTACATGAATAGTCATTTCTAAAAGGGAAACAAAATGATATGACGAATGCTGAAGCACAGGACAATTTTGTTCAGGAAGGCTGAAGCCCCACCGCGTAGTTCGAGTCAATCAGGGCAAATATGAAATGAAAGAATGAAGGAAGAAATCATGCACAAGAGAGAAACTAACATTTTCTGGTTTACAGTATGAAACGAGAAAGAAAATATGAACGCATCTTTAAGCCAGACCACTTTCATCATTGTGTATGCACGCAATATTAAACTTTACAGAGTCTTATGAATTAACTTCTTTGTAGTTTCTTTAAAATATTGAGTTCTTACAGTATCTTTAAAGTCTTATGAATTAACGCTGATTAGGACATTCGACATGGAAGTTCAGCATTCATAACAGTGAGTAGAAATTGTAACAAGCATGTAGCATGCTACAGTGTTTCATTTAGAGCCGAACCGTCTCTGCAGGGGAAATCCGTTTTCGTTTCACCAACATGCGATAGGTGGTGGTAACTCCTATAGTAGTTCATCGTTTTCTACCCAATCGAATCCAACATTTGTGTTTGTTCCAATGAGGGAGCCACAAACTTAGCGTTGAGTGATGTAACCCGTTTGTTTTGAAATCTTTATTCTGTAGAAAACCTCATAAAAATAAGATTGATCAACTGCGAAGCAACATAACTGTCAATAAAGTCATGCTGATGTAGATTTCACGTGAGGAAACGGAAGTAGTCCCTGAACTCGTAATGAGTGCCTGAATGGCATAGCCAATAAGTTCAATTTTACAGTAGAAAAAAGAAATTCTTTCGGTTAAATGCGCTCTATATATCA